ATCTATAGGACTACTAAATTCTGTAACATGCCATCCTTCTTGTAAACTCACAGGGTTCTTTTATTTCCCACCATATATACATTTGAACTAGACTGTAATGTTTCTCTGTGTCATAATATGTGTATATATGTGGGTATATACATAAAGATTATCTTTTGAGAACTGAATGCAACAAAATTTCATTTTAATGTATGCTGATTAGTGTACATTTAAAGTGACAATAAAGATTTCTACTCTAAAGATTATAGTCAGGATGGTAACATGTATTCTCTTCCTTCAGGAAAGCGGTGAAGGCCACCCTTGTGCTCCTTCCATTATTAGGAATAACCTACATGCTTTTCTTTGTTAACCCTGGGGAAGATGAAATATCCAGAATAGTCTTCATTTACTTCAACTCCCTTTTGGAGTCCTTCCAGGTAGGCAGAACCTCACAAAAATCAGAGCTGAAGTGAATTGGGAGGATGGAAAGATGCCATTCATATAAATCTGATTTTTCAGAGATATTATATATAAGGTATATGGACATCTTATCTTAAAGGTATTTTATGTATTTATTTAACATGTTGCTCTTCCACCATTCCCACTTATGTACTCTGTTCTTATCAATAAGCTGCAGGAGCAGTGTTTTTCACACACTTTCCTCCTGCTTCAAGAATATGGGGAACACACATCAATATAATTGAAGGAGGACCACTTACTAAAAGGTTGACAGACCCAAAAGGCTAAAAATGTTTGAATTTGTATTTAATTTAAATGTAACTACATTTAAAAAATGCAAATAGTTGAAAAACTCTCCAAGAATTGAATGATATTCTTTATGACATTTAAATTTCAATTCAATGAAATTTTCAATGGCGAGAACCCACTTTGCAGATTGTGTTCAAGGCACTGCAGGCCTTAGATTGTGTATTTTTGTTACTAAGAATCCCATTCTTTGAGTTAAATACAGTCCATTTTCTTGTACAATGCTGGGAGGAATATGTTGTATCTCTAATCAAAATCTTCTGATAAATGTAAAAAATTCAGAGATTGCCAATGTGCAAGCAAGGAGAATCCAGCAGTAGAAAGTCCACTACCCTACTAGATAATAGGCAGAAGACAAGTCATGTTGTAGAGCAGATTTACAGATTAGAAACATGAATGCTAGTATGTGTCTGTTGAAAGACACTGAACCTGCTTCGTAGAAAGCTTGGGAGGGTGGGAATCAATTTGTTTCTCTTCTCTAAACAGTAATTGATTCCATCATCTTTTCCCTTCTCCATCCAGGGCTTTTTTGTCTCTGTTTTCTACTGTTTCCTGAACAGTGAGGTGAGTTGGGGTTGGAAATGAAGGAAAGAGGAGATTAGTTATTACCTTTCTTTGGGAGAATCGAGAGCTACTATTACAGGTTTTTAAAAAAACCCTCAGAATATAGCAAAGGGAATATGAAGAAATTAAGTTTTTAAAGTTTCAAATGTTGGTTTAATTTTTGAAATTGAAATTCAAGTATCTTTTAGTATTTAAATGTTCTTTTTGAGGAACACCTTGAAGACAATGATCTCTGAGGAGATGCTTGGTATAAATATGATAAATTTAATATCTTTATTAAAGGTATATCTAATACTTTTAAACAATTTTAGACAATTGTGAGGGGAAGATATAAATGAAAACTTTTTTTAAACATTGAGAAGAATTTTAAGATGAGAAGACTTCTTGGGATTTTCCTTTCCAAATATTTTGTTTCCAGCTTTTAAGGAGAATTGATGTAATGTCTAGAGTAGTCTTTCTCAATCTTGTGTTATGTAGGAATTCCCAACGAGAATGGTAAATGGGCATGCTAAATTAGAATGCTAGCCTTTCTACAGGTAGTCCTTGACTTATGACCACATTTGGATCTTAAATCTCTGTTCGCTAAGTGAGATAATTAAGTGAGTTTAAGTGCCCCCTTTAACAACTCTTCTTGCAACAATTGTTAAGTGAATTTACTGCGTGTCAAAAGGTGATCACATAACTCCAGGATATATCAGCGAACCAGGATATAAATGCGAACCAGTTTTCTGGCATCCAAATTTTGATCACATGATTATGGAGATGCTGCAACAATTGTGTGAAAAACAGCCATAAATCACATTTTTTCAGTGTTAACTTTGAACAGTCACCAAGTTTATGAATCTTAAGTCAAGGATTACTTCCTATATATTCCTAAAATATGTACAAAACATGGGTTTGAGAAAAATTGGCTTAAAGAGAATCAAGACAAACTGCATGCTGGTAGTTTTATGTCTGAACAAGGAACACTCATTCCTGAAGAATATCTGTGTCCAAATTAAAGGGCAAGAACTTTTTCCTCTTCTTGTATCTTGTCTCCTTAATGTAGTTATCTAGAAATCAATTTCTGCCACTGCTTGTGATATAGCAAATCTTTTTATTTTTTTCAAATTGGACCCTACTTCTATCATCATTTTTCATCAGCTGGAAAATATTGCTCTGGTATTTATCTACTTTATCCCAAAGGACCCACTTGTTATATAAACAACTTTAGGTGAATTAATGAGTAAACTTACCATTGCTGCAGAGTATCCTCAGGAATGTGATTACTGGGACTGAAATTTTCTCTGGAAGATTTTTGTTTTTCCTTTCGTCCGCCAACATTAATTAAACAAAATTTCTGTAGTTATTTGCATGAGTATCCTGAGAAAATAAGATTTTTTTCACATGTGGACATTCATACATTTTTCTTCGATAAACCTTTGATAAACACACTCATTACAGATTATAGACCGTGGTTTTGCATTTAGAACAGTGAGGATTCACAATACACCCTTTAATATTTTTGTACAAAGCAGATTGTGATCTAAAAACCCTGGCCTTCAGGGGTTTTCCCGTAAAATAAATTTCATCATCTTCAATCAATGTGATCATATATTGGGTTGAAATTCTTCCAAAAATCATGAGATCACCCAAGGCTACTGTAATACATCTAGAAGGGCCTTAGTCTTCATTGAATCTAGGTGTCCTTTCAAAGGAGAAATTGGGAAGTAATGTTTACTTTTTGTGATTTTTTTTTTAGGTCCGTTCTGCAGTACGAAAGAGGTGGCACCGATGGCAGGACAAACACTCCATCCGTGCCCGAGTAGCAAGGGCCATGTCCATTCCTACATCCCCAACTCGTGTCAGTTTCCACAGCATCAAGCAATCAACTGCTCTCTGAGAGCCAAAGTTTAGGGAGAAAATTTTTACTGCCTTTCTTATGTTACAGTTTAGGAAAGGCCAAGGGATTTTGTCCGCATTTTGCAGACATTTTATAGTAGAGGAACTGTTTGCATTGGAAGGGAATCTTTGTGAGATTGGAACTGCAAGTCGTGGCAAACCAACTGGTTATGAAACAAGGGGAACTCCACGGCCTATAACCACAACCACATTAAAAAAATGTTATGGCCTATTTTGTTTTATAATACACCTGAAGATTTTTGTTCTGTTTGCTTACTAGTTTGGAAGATGTTTATCTATCACAAGTGCTGCAGAAAGAAAGTTAGCAGATTATCCCTAGTTGGAATTAGTGAGCAATAAGCAAAACCAAATGCATCAAGATTAATCTTGGAATACTGTCTCACATAGTATACATAAAGGCTTTTTAAAAAAGGACTTATGAGTTCATTAAGATAATGTCCAATACAAGGCAAAGGCACACATCTCACATTCAGGACCATGTATCTGATTCTGTGGAATAAATAAAACTGCCGGACACTGCCGTTATGTAAACTCCCTTAGTAAATATCCTTAGGACATCTATTTGACTCCTATAGGAAGATTTAAGTGGTAAGAGAAAGTAGAGCTGTTCCCATGTTCTTCCTCATCTAAATCTGCTGCAGGTGATGCCAAAGATCTGAAACTTGATGGACGCTCATTCAAGATGATGACTAACCTACTTGTTCCATGATCCAGATAATATTACCTGATTTTCACCATAGACAGCCTATTTGAAGCCCAAAATGGAGTGGGAGAATAATGCATTCCTTTTGGTATCTCTTAATAAAGAATAGTACTATCCTTTATCCTTGCTTGTAATTTTATAAATTTATAGGATAATTTTCATTGTAAATACAGCTTTCTGCAGAATTTGGGTTAACATTGAGAAGTCTTCACTTGAATGTTTTATTTTCTGCGTCTTGAGCCACAATTCCCATAAAAATAGTTCCCACATCAACATTTTTGTTGGAATTTATAAACAAAAATCTAAGAATCTGCTTAAATATTAAGATCTATCTCTTTCTTGTAATTGGGAGTATTCTTTGTATGAATACTCCCATCAATGAAGTTCAGGCCCCGAGAGTAGTTGAGCCATTTGCTAATAGCTTTAGGTTAGAGAAGATCCTAGCAGAAGTGAACTACAAACAGGGAATTCCAAAAACATATATTTCTAGACAACCCAAGCTCCATTGGGTCATCATTTCAGAGATATTTCCTTACCTAAACAAGGGTAGGCAAAAAAGACAAGAGCTACTTCTGACTTCCTACTGACTTCTGCATTAAGTTTCATTATGGAAATCGGGCAGGAAGCATCAGAAATTGCCAAAATATCATTTTTCAACATCCCATGACCACAGCAATAACCCAGCAGTACTCAATCAAGCACAACTTCCCCAAATTTAATTCCCGCAGGACTCATGGGTCTCATATTTTGGACACTTTCTGTAAATTAACCTATTTGCGGTAAAAAAATGTTGCTCTTTGTTTTGATCAGTTAAAGGTTATGAGAACAAGAGTTTTAGTAACATAGAAATTCTGAAGGGGAACCAATTCTTGTTCCATATTATCTAATTCTTAAAATTAAAGTAGACTAGTATAAGTTTTAATTTACTAAGCCAAAGATTATTAAAGCAACATTTTTTTCTGATATGCCTAACGCAAAAAGAAAGGAAGGGAAAAGGCTCTGATGGTGGAGGTCCAAGCAAATGTCTACTTAATCACTGGTAGTGTAGAGATCAAAAGGTATGTAAATCTGAAAAAATTAAATTACCTATCACAGCTCTTCAAGTACTGTCCAGCTGAATATAAAAGCCCTTTTGGTAATATGTCTGATTCAATAGCCTTGCAACAGGTAAAACCTATCAAACATGCTCTAATATGTTTCAAAAAATATCCAGGGAAGACAATATTCACTGACAGTGATCTACTAGAGTGATTAAAAAATTACAGACCCAAAGAGTTATTAACAATTCCCTGCTTTCTATTTCTCTATCAATATCCAAATGATATTATCTCCCCAAGATTCTGTAATGCCCAGCTAGCTAATCAGCAAGTATTTTCTGGTCATTCTGAATAAAATGAATAAAGTACTAATTAATCACTTGTCTTTATAAAAGGTTTATCCAAACAGCTACTGTTAAATCAGATTAAAGTCTGAAGAGTCTAAAGAGTCAGTCTTAAGTCTGACGAAGTTTGAAGATGGGCTCCAGCGTGAGCCTGAAAGCTTGGAAGAGTAAATCTCTGCTCTCAGTGACTGCCCCAAATTCGATCTTGCATCATTATCCTGGGACACATACACTTGCCCTCATTTGTAAATCAGATTAGCCCACTATTGAGGCAATGGAATCCAATTCTAGCACATCCTAGCTAGTCTATCTGATGACTGTTTCTTGCAACATGGTCAAGTCATTTCAACATTGTATTTCCCCATGCATGCTTTAAAACAATATGCAGCCTGAAAAAGATTAGACCTGCACTGGATAAGATGTAATGGACACTATTATCAAAAATTGAATATGTAAAATTTTCGTGTTTCATATTGTCATGAGTTTCCTGATGTTCAGAGTCATAAAACGGAGAAGCTCCAAACCATTTTGAGGCTGTGACCTCAACCCAAAATACTTGTTATAATATGAAAGATGCAAAACAGCTCCTGTGGAAGAGTGTTGCAAAATATTCTATTTGGTTCATATGTGTACGTTCCGGGATTCAACTATGTGGTTTAAAAGAAAATACAAGGTTAAAAAAATTGATAAAGTTCTATTGCATTAGTCTTAAATCAGATATTAATTGGCTTCTCAAACCTAGAGGCCACAGCCAACTTCACGATGGAAAACAAAGTGCCAGCCCTACATATATGAAGAATATACAAGCTGGAACTATAACACTGGCCTGGTAAATAATAATATACCTGGGAATTGCCTGTCACAGTAGTGTGCATCAAAAGATTGTTGTCCTTACACAGCAGCAACTTTACCATTCTCTTCAAAGCTGGCTGAATCACTAGTAGATGTCGCAAACAGACTCTTTCAATTCTAAAATCCTCCAGTCCAGAATTCTCAACAAGAGGCAAGTTCCTAGTTTGCTCTCCGGAGCTGAGGGTAAAAGAGTACTAATAGCACTTTTCAAGGTATGGGTCAACTTTTCCCAAATTCCACAAACAGCAGTGAGGTCCAAATCAACCACCACACTGTTTCCTGGTTCTGAACCATTGTTCTCTCATGACAGTTCTGGATCATCCAATACTTGGGCATGATCATCCTTTGGAGCTGTAGAAGCATAGACCACTTAGACATAAATTGAATTGCATGCAGTTGAATTGCATCCAATTCAATCAGTTATAGACTGACTGCTACAATATCTGTATGCTAATATAGACTGTAGACTCAACAACAAGTATGTCATTTTTGTCTACAGATAATGAGTTCAAAGCCCTTCAGTGAAGCCTATTTGAACTTCTTCCCAACAAAAGAAACAAGGGCAAATCTGCTCAAAATGAATTTTGGCCAGGAGTAATGTGGGAGACTGGTTAAATTTACAAAAATAGGGAAGACAAGGAGAATCATGTAGGGGACCATTTCAAGAGAAAAAAGAACTACATCTGTGAATCTGTAATAAATGCTTGTTATGACTGTGGTTTGTAAGACATAATTAATTTTGTCAATGAATTGCAGTTAACTTTGGACAGTACAGTTACTGTGTCTTTTACCTCCAGACTTGTCAAACTTGACAAGCTAGCGGTATTACCAAGTTAAATCAACAAGTCAAGGAATGTATCAGATGATCATGAATAATTTCATTTGCTCCGTACCCTATAAGGGCATGCAAAGAAGTCTTAAGGAGGCCCAAGCAAAAAAATCTGCTCAGCCTCCGAACACACAAGGATAAAAGGCCAGTATGATGCTATTTCCATGGACTAATCAAAACTTGGATGGTCCCTGGCAAAAATGCTATGAGCAGAAGGGAAGACATCCTAAAGAGGACACAGCACAGAGTAGACTCAGTGAAGAAACATTCACAGAACTTTGAGCCATTGAGAAAGCAGTAGGCCCAACTACAGGTGGGCATGACCCTGTGGCAATTGTATTGGCTTGAACATGTGATTCTAGGACTATCAGTCACCCCAGATTCATGCTGTTCACAAAGGACATAACATCTGGTGACATAGCACCTGGTGAGGGAGCAGTGAAAAGATGAGCATTTTGGTGCCGAGATGCAGTAGTTGTGGCAGACATCCCCCCATGGGTTCGCTGGTGGCGTTTGAGATGAGCTCGGCGAGCAAAGCGCTTTCCACAAGCTGTGCACGGATAGGGGCGCTCCCCAGTGTGAGCACGCTGGTGAATAAGAAGTTCTGAGCGCTGCAGGAAGCGTTTAGAGCAGACAGAACATGCATGGGGGCGCTCCCCCCGATGCATGCGTCTGTGCTTGCTGAGGTTTGAACTGACACTGAAGCGGCGTCCACACTCTGTGCAGGCATAGGGTTGTTCACCAGAATGTGAGCGGATATGAATAGTGAGGTCAGAGCGTTGCAAGAAGCGTTTCCCACACTCTCCACACCCATAGGGGCGCTCCCCTGAGTGCAGACGCCGATGTTTGCTGAGCGCTGAGCGCTGTGTAAACCGCCTCCCACACTCCCCACAGGAATAGGGTCGGTCAGGTTCTGGAGGTGGAGTTGGGGGTGGAGGAGGTGTTGTGAGGCCTCCACCACATTCCACACAGCGACGTGATCGCCTATGGCGCTCTAAGTGGCAACCCCAGCGGAAACGGCGCCCACAATCTCTACATTGGTGTGGTTTTTCTGCTGCATGACGCTGCTGATGCCGTTCCAAGTTTGCTAGAATTCGGAATCGTTTGCCACATTCCTCACAGGCATGGGGTTTTGGGGACTGGGCAGAAGTTGGGTTACCTGGCAGAGCCTGGGTATTCAGTGGCCCTACAGAATTCAGAGTCAAGGTAGAAGAAAATTCTGAGGCAGAATTCAAGAAAGGAATCAATGCAGAATTATGAGGGGAGTTAGGTCTTAATGGTGGGATTGCAACAGTTCTCCTGCATGATCCACAGTAATGGGGCTTCTCCTCTGCAGGTAAACGCCTTTGTGTGTAATGTGGCTTCTGCCATCCTAAGAACTGAGGTCTTTCAATGAAAGATTGGCAGATTCTCCCAGTTTCCTGGGAGCCATGGCTCATATTTGAGAATGGACTGCGGTTAACACTCTCTCTAGGTTCTACTCCCCATCTTGTTCCTAGAGAGTTTTGCTGGGCAAGAGTATTCTTACACCCTCTCATATCACCACGAATCATCTTGGGTTGCTTTGGTCCTGCCAGTCCCGGACATTTGAGGGGCACTTGCACTTCATTCCCAAATGGTTTTCTGGATAGCATAGCTGGTTCTTCCACTGTTCCAGTCTGAAGTTCCCTTGAAGTTTCCAAATTATTTTGCCCCACTGTTTCATCACCTGTTGAAACAGAAATGCAGTTATAGTTCAGCATCTTGGACAATAAACATGGGTGGAAACATGTGACCTCCATGATACTGATAGAAAATCAGTTCTCATTAACCCAATCAATGGCTATTCTGGCTGTGATGGACTGGAGCAGAGGTTCGGCAATGTTTGGAATATCACAGTTCCCCATCTATGACGTTCCCCCTTCTACATATTTAGGAGAACATTGCTAGTTATTTTGGAGTATTAAATTATAAAGTATTCAGATTTAATCCCTCAAATGTCAAACAAAATAATTCAAGCAGTAAATACCTTCAGTTCAGGTCCAAGAAATTTGCTGCCAAACATTAATAAGTCTACAAATGGCCTACCTGATAGTTTATTAAGAATAAAATATTCAGTTGATGAAGATTTTTAAGTTTAAAATTAGGTTTCTTAATCACAGTTTTAGCTCAGGACTCTGAATTCCTCACCATCCCAACCAAATCCACAGAGTATTGCTAAATATATGTTATATTTTCATGACACTTTATTTATATGGTTTTTCCATCATTCTCCTTCGCCATACCACAGAAACAGATAATTGCAATGTTTGTTCTGAATTATTATTAGGACTCTTGCACTTGGGAAAAATTCTGCTTTAAGATATGGCAGCCTGTATCTGGCAAGGATTCAGAAAAATCTAAATAAATCTGTCATTTTACATTACTCAAAAAAAGGAATCAGAGAGCAGAAGGCAGGCTAAAGGAAGGAATCTATGAAGAAAGGATAAAAAGAATGCAGTACATACATCAGTACTAGACTTTTTTTTCCTGTTTTGCTATTAATAGGAAGAAAGGATAGCTGGGGGTAGGGAGTGTAGGAGTGAGAGAAAAAGGCTTCAAGCCAAGATGATTTCTTAATATTGAGACTACTCCAAACCATAGATAGTATTATATATGCCTAGAATACATATATTTATATATTTGGAACTCTCTCTTTCTCCCCACTCCCTCTCCCTCCCCTTTGTAAGATAAGATCTGCCTCCACTCTCCTATCTTTCCACAGGAGCCTAAAGACTTGGCTCGCTTGTTGGCCTGACGTCCAAATGGGGAAATTCTATGCTGGAGGTGGCTGCTGGATTGATGGCTGACTCCTTCTCCACCCCTCCCCGCCATTCTCTATTCCCCGTCCATCCATCTTTTGTTATCTTATTGATGTATTTTCATTGTGTTCTTTTTCATTGTTTATTTGGTGGTACAGTGGTTAGAGTGCAGTACTGCAGGCTACTTCTGCTGCAGCCAACTGCCTGAAATTTGGCAGATCGAATCCCACCAGGCTCAAGGTTGACTCATCCTTCCATCCTTCCAAGGTGAGTAAAATGAGGACCCAGATTGTTGGGGGCAATATGCTGACTCTGTAAACCGCTTACAGAGGGCTGTAAAGCACTATAAAGTGGTATATAAGTCTAAGTGCTATTGCTATTATTGATCTATTGTTGTACTTTTGTTTTGTTTATATTCTTTTCATTTCTTCTTCTATTATAGTTGTAAGCTTCCTAGGGTAGCCCCATGGTGAAACAGGCAGGAAATATATTTGATAAATAAATAATATTAATAAATAAGTTTAAAGTGTTAGATATGGACTTGGAATTTCTGTCATTGCTTAACCATACAGTTCACTGAGTGATTTTGGCCATTTCTCTCAGATCAGCCTATTTCATAGGAATTTATCAGATCAGCCTATTCCACAGGAATGTATTGATTCACTTATTTATAACAAGTGCTTTCATCATTAAAAAATCTAAGTGGTTTACAAAAACAGAATACAATAACTTATACAACATATAACTTAATGAAATACAAAATAATTATGAAATCATCGTCATAAGTATAGGTAGTTCCCGACTTATAACCATATATATTAGTGCCTGTTCAGAGTTACAATGGCATTGAAAAAAATACTTATGAGCAGTCCTCAAAGTTATGACTATCACACATCTCCATGGTCACATGATCAAAAGTTTGATGCTTCGCAACCAGCATAAATTTTTCTTTTTACAATGCATTATTTTTATTCAAGACTTTAAAATACAAACTCCCAAAAAGTAAACAAAACAAAACACAATTAGACTACAGAAAAAGTGCATAACATTAAAAAAAACACCAGTTAAATACTGATCAATATACTTTAAAGATAACTTTAATTTATAAATTTCTAGAACAATATTTACCCAACCCAGTTAGCCTGATATCTAACTACTATATGGAAACATAGTTAACAGGTAAAACCAACAACTAAGTTAAACTTCAAAACTTTCTGTTAACAGTCTATTTATTGTATTTCAGATGCAGAAAGTCCACAACAGCTTCTGGTCTATCATAGGTCACCACAGTCATTGTCTCTGGTCCATCCAGAATCAAATATCCTCAACTGATTCTTAATAATGAGGCTTTTCCTTAAGCTATTAATTGGGATCCTTCCTAACAATTGGATTTTATTCTCCAAAATTATAAAATCCTGCTGTGTATATCTCCACTGCATTTGCTGTACAAAAAAGTATCCTGTAAATTGCAACATAACTTCTCTTAATATCTATTGGGTATGATAAATCCATTTCCCAACCTTCCTCAATCTTCTTGAAAAAGTTGAGTTCATAACTGTTCAATTCTACTAATTCTGAATCTTTAAAATCCAAACCTTTGAGTCCTTTTGCCAACTTGCATTTTCCAAGTCCAGATGATCCTACAGGCTATGTCAGCAGCAAATTACATTCCAATCCATCACATTGTAAATCTTGTACTATTGTTACTTGCATTTGGTTAACATCTTCAAATTGGTTTAAAATTTTATCAAGTTTTTTATCAAAATTTTCAGTTGGACTTGTAAATAGAAAAATATTCTTTCTGCCCTGCTTTTCCAATAAGTTTTGTCTTTATATATTGCTTGCATTTTGACTATATTTTCATATAGTCAAAATGCTTTAATAGTTAAAGTTTTTATAACTGAAACTTTTATAGCACATCATAAACAACTCCTCAGACAAGAAAAACACTTTAGCTAATTAACCTCAAAAAACATTGTTTCCCAACAACAAAAAAAGATTTTCATCAAAAATTTAAAAATTAAGACTAGCGTTTTTAAAAAATGGTTATAAAGTACAAAATCTTGTAATAAAAGTTTGATATTCAGATGTAAATCAAATTAAATCAAATCTCTTTCACTACCCAAAGCTTACCGTGTCTTCTATGCTGAAAAAGCAGAAGTGATTTCTAGTAGCTAATGAAACAATAAAAACCTTTAAAATCCAGCAGGGAGTTATATTAAATCAGCATTCAACTAGCTGATTGACATTTGAAGATAAAAATCAGGGGGGGGGGGGGGAATCAAAACATGCCATTAAAACTGCAGGTGTTCTTAAAACAGCAGATAGATAGAAGGAAAAATGGAGTTTCTTCTTCCAAATGCTCCCCAATGAGAATTGCAATCTTCTAGGTTCTCTTCTCAGGTAGATCCAGTCATCCAAGAGTCATCCTGAGTCATTGGTAGCAGTTCCCGTTCAAATCCGGGAAGTGTGCTGCCAAAGGAGCAGCTTTGGCAGCAAAACCAGCTGTCTGTATGCAGGAAAAAATTTTTCCTGCTGAGTCAGGAAAAATTCTTGGAAAAATTGCAACCAACACATCCTGAAGTCATGTGGTCACCATATGCAACCTTCCCAGTTGGCTTTCAATAAGCAAAGTCAATGGGAAAAGATGGATTCACTTATTGACCATGTCTTTCATTTAACAATTGCAGTGATTCATTTAAAAACCACAGCAAAAAAGGCTGTAAAATCAGGTCCAACTCACTTAGCCATCCTCAGTAGTTAATGCCACACTTTTGTCAAACTCCTTGAATTAAAACGGAAAGCTTTCATTTTGCTCACATCTTGTGTGTTTCATTTTCATTATACATGGAGGGAAGTAAGCAGTGGGGTGCCACAAGGTTCTGTCTTAGGCCCAGTACTTTTCAATGTCTTCGTTAACAACTTAGATGAGGGAATAGAAGGGGAACTTACCAAATTTGCAGATGATACTAAGCTGGCAGGAATAGCTAACACCCAAGAAGATAGGCTCAAGATCCAGATGGATCTTGACAGACTAGAACACTGGGCCATATCTAACAAAATGAAATTCAATATAGAGAAAAGTAAAGTCCTACACTTAGGCAAGAAAAACCGAAAGTACACATAGGCTCAGTAGGAATAACTGTGAGAGGGATCTTGGAGACTTAGTGGACAGTCAGCTAAATAGGAGCCAGCAGTGTGCAGCAACAGCCAAAAAAGCTAACACAATCATAAGTTGCATTAACGGGGATACAATCAAGATCAAGATCAAGATCAAGTAGTATTAATACTACTCTATAAAGCCTTAGTAAGAACATACTTAAGAGTACTGTATCCAGTTTTGGTCACCACACTATAAAAAAGATGTTGAGACTCTAGAAAAATACAGACAAGAGCAACCAGGGTGATTAGGGGACTGGAGGCTAAAACATACAACGAACGGTTGCAGGAACTGGGCTTGGCTAGTCTAGTAAAGAGAAGGACCAGGGGAGACATGATAGCGGTCTTCCAATATTTGAGGGGCTGCCACAGGGAGGAGGGGGTCAAGCTATTTTCTAAAGCACTCGAAGGCCAGACAAGGAATAATGGATGGAAACTGAACAAGGAGAGATTTAACCTGGAACTAAGGAGAAACTTTCTGACAGTGAGAACAATCAACCAATGGAACAGTTTGCCCTCGGAAGTTGTGGGAGCGCCATCACTTGAGACTTTCAAGAAGAGATTGGACTGCCATCTGTCAGGAATGGTGTAGGGTCTCCTGCTTGGGAAGGGGGTTGGACTAGATCAGGGGTCCCCAACCACCGGGCCGCGGACCGGTACCGGTCCGTGGATCACTTTGCACCGGGCCGCAAAGAAAATAAAAATAAAAAATAAAATAAAAATGGCGGCTTTCTTCGCCTTCGGTGAATGCTGCTGGGATCAGGGATCAAGGACACAAATGAAAGAAGGGGAGGGAGGAAGCAACCAAAGCCTGTCCTACTCTCTGGCTCAGTGGCTTCGGTTTCCTCCCGCCTCGTTCCTCTCTCAGTCGCTCTCTCGCTCCTCCACCAGCCCAGGAAGAAACTGCTTCAAAGAAGCCGGCAGGGTGGCTTTTCCTGTCGGCGCAGCTCCCCGAAGCGCCCGTTCACCCCCACCCCACCGCCAATCAATCCAGGTTCAATCCAGTGCTCCGTTCTGCCTGCCTGCCTTCGTTTCTGGTTGTTTCGGAGCAGCTTCGGCTGAGAATAATAACTATTCGCCTCTTTTACTCAGCCAAAGCTGC